TCAGGAGTTCCCTGTAAAAAAAGACTAATCCCCGCTGCTCTTACTTCTCTCGCAGGGTGACTGGACTTGTATCCACCCCTTCCTGCAGTTTTCTGCATGCAGCCAGTAATGGGTGGGGCCTGCTGGGCTCCTCCCACAGCTCTGCTCTCTGCACAGGTTATGTGCAGCACAGTGATGATGTCACATCTACTTTTAAATGTAAACATCTGAGTTTGCAAAGGTGTTTGGTTCACACAAAGTGGATTTACATTTGTGGCTATTGAGGAATACATTTAAATAATAGTTTTTGTGCCCAGAATTTAGTTGTAAAATAGGATCTAAACCGTAATTGCCAAATAGGGTGCAGAAAAATAAACTGCAATAAGGATTTACAGCTGTAAAGCTGAATCAAGATTTACTGAAAAATAAGATTTCTAACAAATAGTTCAATTCTGCTGTATTTTATAAGCCATAAAAGAAAAACAAATGATATTAAAGGTCTAGTTGTATTTAGTCCTATTTAACTAGACTTATACTGTAATGCCAAAGACATTTCACTACTCTTCCAAGTAGCTTCCTCAGTTTTGATGGCTGCCAGGAACATACCCTAACAGAAGGGAGATGCAGGATACACAAAGTAATATAACCATCCTGAATGTGGCTAGGGCATCAGAAAAACTCAGACAAAATCTTGTAAATCCTAAAGCCCCAATGCCCACACACAAGCAACGTAACCTGGTATATGCAGTCCAGTGTAGTGAGGAATGCACAGAACCCCACATTGGGTAGACAAAACAACCAAATCAAGAATGCTTGGCAAGGCGGTGAGTGGCTGATTTACTTACCTGGTCCCCACTCTCTTCACAGGTCTATGGAACCTGCATTAGACATGATGTCAGCGGTCATTAGACCACCAGTGCTCAGGGAGAAAAAGCTGCAGGGGGTGGTCAAGCAGCCCTAAAGGAGCTGGCCGGAGCAGGGATGAGAAAAGAAAATCTTTTTTCTTGCCCCCTAGGCAAAAAAAAAAAAAAAGAGCACTTAACGCTTGCATTGCCCGGGTAACACCACTGCAAGGGTACTTTTTTGTTTGCCCATAAATGGGATTTAAAGCATACTTTTTCTATATGTCCATCTTAGTATGCCATGTGCCAACATTTGTATAAGGGGCAGAGGCCATCACTGGACAGAACAATGTCCCAGTTCTGCCCTGTGTTCTTTTCATTTGACTGCCAGCTGCATTCAGTAACAAGTGGCTGATAAAAGAGCACAAGGGAGCATGCTTGGGGATACATATGCCCGGTTCCCGGCAAAGAAGTTCCTACAGAATACTTTCCATGAGGGAATGATAACATAACTTCCCTCATATAGTAACACCTCCTTTATCACCTCCCAAAAATCCTGATGAACGGACTAGAAGGTGATGGTATACGGATGTTATAAAATAGAAATAATCCAAGAGTTAACACAGATCTGCAAAGTATGCATGCATAATTGTTAACTTCAAATTGTTTGCATTAAAAAAAAAAAAGAAGAAAGATGTTTTCTGCTATAAAAAAGGTTTTTTTTTTTTTTTTTAGGATAGGTGGGAGCACATTTTGGACAGAGAGGACAACTGGTTCTTAAGAGGTGTGAAAGAGTCCACTTATGTCAAAGTGGAACAGCCATCCCTAATCATCTGTCATGTATATTTTTACCCTGGTGCTTTGGTAGTAATTAAGGGCTTTAGCCATTAAGCTCCAACAATTAACACGTTACCGACTACATGGTACCATGGTAATTGAATTAAAGGGGTAGAAAACGTTGGTTTCACAAACTTTTACACCTTCCATCATGTTGTTGGAAAAACATCTGCCTTGCCACATTTCATAAGAACATGGAGATTGGATTAAGGTAAATGAGTTACACATGTGGCTATAAATGCTGGGGTATGCTCTTAACATTCAGAACTGAAGAATCTACTTAGATAAGTCACAAAAACTTCTTCAGCATTACAGATCAAATCCAGCTGGATGTTACTGGCTATACTATGACCTGGCTAAATGAAAACGTTCGCAGAGCTGTTAGAAAAAGGTTTAACCGCCAAAAAATAATATCCAATAGCGGTGATCTTCTGAAGGTACAATGTCATAACACAACCAAAAGTGTGCATTATGATAACTACAATATCAAATGAGGTGCTTGGTCAGTACATACAAAAATTCCTTCATGCTCATGTCACAAGTTCTAATGCAACAAACAGTATAAAACAAGTAACACTATATGCAGATACAAACAAACCAACATGTATATATCAAACCTTGACTGAAGATTAAAAAAAACAATGTTTGGGAAATATCATTAAAGATATAGCTGAAAATGGGTGTACAGTGTACAGATTGGGTGTGGTTCTTTGCCCGGGAGTTACAGGTTTGTTGCACAGATGCACGCAGCCAGCCTGTAGAAATCAATGATAGGCTGGCTAAAGCCATGGCTGTACGGGTATAGACGCAAATCCCATTGTTTACATCTGTACCTGGACACTGCCCCAAATGCAGAGGGCCCAAGTTCAGGGCAGTGTGGAATTCACCAGTAAGCATGTAAAAGATGCAATTTGCATAGATACCAAAACAGCCAAAGCTTCCGCCACTCTGTTATTGATTTATACAGGCTGGCGGCACGGAGTGGTACTGCTGCGCCTCATGGGCACAGAAATATACCTGATCTGTATGCTGAACACCCATTTCTGGCCATGTGCGTGAGGCCTATAGGGATATCAGATTTGTATTCTGGGGTAAAATGTCAACCGATGAACCCTCTCTCCTCCTGCTGTTTTCACAGTTCTTTTCAGGTAGGGTTCATTTTCAAATATGCAGCACTGTGGTCACAGCCTTGACCACTAGAAATTTTGTCTTCGATGTAACTTGATCCTCGATAACAAATGCATACAGATCATTCCCATCATGTTCCCACCAAAAACTAGATGCAGTTTAGGCTTCATTTACAGTGAAAGCACTGCTAGGTGAAGGCTCAGAACAGAATCCTGGGCTAATCGCACTTATTGGTCAATGGCTTTACTATTGTAAAGTACCTTACTGCAGTAATGTACTAAATACAGACATGGATAAATGTGATGGCAGCCTTACAGCTCTTTGGAACAATGTGACATTCTAAAGTGCTGTGCAAACTGTTGGCGCTATATAAATCCTGAATAATAACTCCTCCTGAAAAGTGAGAAATTACACCATAGGAGTAAAGCAAAGAATGTGTGAAAAGAGATAAATCATTGTCTACTCTACAACATAGTCAAAAAATGCATGGAATGATTTTTTGGTACCCCCAGAAAAGATTATAAATCGGATCTTGTAGTCAGTCAGCCAACCTACTTAAGTGGAGAAAAGTAGTCACTCTGCTGTTCGTAATCATTGTATGCACCAAACTGAACATAGCCCAGGAGAAAGCAAAGGAGAGAGCTGTCTGGAGATCAGAGAGAAAATGTAAAGACTATAGACGCATTACATAAGTTAAAGGCTATAAGAATATCTCCGAACAACTTGATTTACCTGTGATGACAGGTACAAATATCATTAGGAAGTTTAAGGTCCCTAGGAGTGTAAGTGGTCCACAGGAGTGGCAACCTCCCTGGACATGGCTGCAAGAGGAAAATCAACAACAGATCGCACAGCACAATAGTGTAAATGGTGGACAAACAGCTAAGAAAAACTTCCAAAGAAAGAGAAGACGAAGTCCAAGGTCAAGCTACATCCGTGTATGATCACACCATTCATTGCTTTTTGAGTGAAGAATGTCCATTGGAAAGTTGAGACATAATTGTAGATAACTGCCGCACTCCTTACCGAATGTCCCTTGTGCTGAAATGTGGGTGCTGAAGCAACTGCGGATGGCGCCGCGCATCACAGTGTACATAAGAAATGTCACCAGCACACCACTGGATGATGTCCAAAATAAAGCGTGGCTTATTCACGCATATGGTCACATCAAAAATGCAATGTTGCATTTTTGATGTGACCATATGCGTGAATAAACAACGCTTTATTTCGGACATCATCCAGTGGTGTGCTGGTGACATTTCTGATAGACATTGGAAAGTTGAGACACAAATGGAGGAGATTTTTGACAAGTCGCATCTGGTTTATGTTTACAGGCAAAAGGAAATTAAGCTTTTAAAGAAAAGAATACTGTACCTACTGTGAAACACGAAGGAGCCTTGGTTATATCCTGTGGCTGCTATACAGCACCTGGCACAGGGTGCCCTAAATCTGTACAAGGCACAATGTAACCTCAAGATCATTAAAGAATCTGGAGCAGCGTCAGAAAGCTCTGTCACTGTCACAGGTTATGGGTCCTCCAAAAGGATAATGAATGAGCACCCAAAAAACAACAAAATACTGGCCTATTGTAAAGTGGCCTTCGACGAACCCTGATCTGAATTCTCTGGAACATCTAATGAAAGAGCTGAAACATGCACCCTTCAAAATGGAGACAGCTGGAGCAATTTGGGCCAAACTACCTGTTTACAGGTGTAGAAGCCTAAATTTCATTGCGAGCTACAGAAATCTCGTTTGCAGTGATTGCCTCTATTCTAAAAAAATATTAGTGTAGGGTCCCTTCATTGTCCATGCCATTTGCATTCATTTTATTATTTGAAAAGTTATTTCACAGAAAGTTGTGTTTTTTGTAGTTGTTAAAGCGCATTAACATATCTGTCCATGTCTGTACATAGTACATTTGTTTAGACTGAATTTATTTTAAAAATGATTAAAACAAGGATCAACAGAATTATAATATAAAAGAATGCATGAATTCTGAAAATTACTGAACATAGCCATTCAGAGGGTGGGTGGGAAATCGGCCTCGTGCAGTGAAATCTAAATTTAAGTCAGAGCAAGACTGCCCACTGACACCATGCTTATCAAGTAGTAGAGGTTAAAGCTAGCATCTCATTAGCTTGTTAGCACTGCCCAATGTGTGAATATATTCAACTTTATAGAGGGAAAAAAAAAAGGATCAGGAAATATACTTACCTAAGCCACTGTGCTTCTGCTCCAAAATTCTGGCTGCTCTTAGATTATTATCAGATAGCACCTGGAAGGAAAGATTTTACTGTGAGATGCAAAACAGGTAAAGACTGAAATTGGAATTCTGATATAGGCAACCCCGTCTCAGACAGGTCTTGTTAATACTGATGCATGACACACGTTAGTGGGGAAGAAACAGAAAACATTGTCATGCAATACTGCCTTCTGACAAGAATCCACTTCACAGATGAGGCCTGTGGCAATGGGGTGGTGCAAAGCAAGCATTCAAAACAGTAATGGGCACATCAATTACATAGAGACAAGGAGAATAAGCCAGTAACCGAAGAGCTTTCATTTCTGCAAATCACGGGCACATTTGTACAACAAGACATCCTGTTTGGAAGGAAGTGCACAGGAAAAGCTGGAAACAAACAGCCGAAAAATGTCTAAACTTGACTATAGTCCATGCATGAGCCCTATTAAAAGAACTGGAGGACGACTTGCAGCTTGTACCCAATGTAAAACACATCCCCATTTTCCTGAAAGAGCTTCAGCTGTACAGACAGACAAGGAAAACTCTTAAGAAGAAAATGGAATATGAAGCAGTACCTATTCCATTATCTGTAAAATGTTTAACAGCAAGTCCTTATCTGACTCGACAGCAACCTCATCCCAGTGGTATCAAAATGGTTCTTGAAGGCAGCCTGCTGACCAATTTATAGTCCTGGCATGGGTCACAATGCATTGTTTTTTGAGATGCATCATTATTCAGAGCCATTAACCAGAAGTGCTAGCGCTATTGCAAAATTTTAAACAGCACTAAAGAAAGCATATGAATTGATTAGTTGCTATATCACTTAATAGATGCAAGAATTCAAGGAAGCTGGACGCCAACCCGGTGTTCTACATCATTTAGACTATGGGCAGCAGGCCACTTAAGGGCAAGACATGGACAGGTTCAAGAGGCTGCAGAATCCTATGGTGGTGCCACCAGGATAAGCAAAAGCTCACATGTGCTTTATGAAATCTGCAACCTCAATATAACATTTTGAAGGATAGTAAATTAATGTATAAACCTCTAAAACTGTGTTGATTTGTGGACCAATGCATATTCTGAAATAGGTACACTGTTACACCATGATAATTTGGTCCACTCTGTATCGAAGTTTGGGAAAGTCTGGACCAATTTCCTTTTTTTAACCACATCTTCTGACCATTAATTGAGCTTAAATCTATCATCAATCTATCATAAAAAAAACCTGCAGTGGGTATATAATGTATACACCTAGAGGGGCTGGCACATACCTACAACAGCCTCTAATATCCCTGGCCATTGTGACAGGCAAAGCTCCAACATTTGTAGATGCTTGAAGCTATCACACGTTCCTATAAGGCGCATGATGATGGGTTGCCTTGATAGGCAATAGTGCAGCAGGCAGGAAGCTTGAGCACTATTAGGCTTCGAAGTTAAGTCTGTCAGAATTGCCTGGGATTCAGACATCAAGGCAGGGGGTACCAGCCTGCTGCAGATATGTCTAGGTGCATGCATTTAATACCTGCATCAGGGGGATTTGTTTTTTTTTCTTTTTTGGCTGTTGACATATTGTCATTAAAGAAACAGTAATGGTGCCATTGCCATTTTATTTTTAAAAGCTAGAAGTTGATTGTCATGCTGACTCTCTTGCTTTAATAGCATGCATCATAGACCCAGAACAAGTTTGCAGGCATGGACTTCTACTGTTATTATAATGACCTTTCCAACATGCATACTTGTTCCAGGTAAGTGATTTAAATATTAAATAATAGTAGTCAAGCAACTAGCATCATCAGAAATTAGAAATGTCACCACCCCCCATATTTACTTTAAAGCAGTGGTTCTCAAACTGTGTAAACTCCGCACCCACATTTGCCCTTGGTCATGAAGTTGTAACCGAAGTCACACTGCACTGGAACGCACAGTATTGCGGTACCCTGCGTTCCGGTGCAAGCGATTAAACTGTGGGCTCGTGGTGCATTTGGGGTGCCATTCAAATGGCTCCACAATGCATGTTTGGATGCTTGTATAAATAGAGCTCCCTCGCGGCCATACCCCCAGCCCACCTCACCTCAAGCTAACACTTGGCACCGAACAGCATATTTTGAATGGCTGCTCGGCGTGAGAACTGACAGTGCTGCGCTAGGGGCAGACTGAGGAGCCTCTCACCCAGCTCAGTGTAAGGCACACGTCGACCCACTGAACATGGGTTGGTGACCCACTTTTGTGTCGCAACCCACCAGTTGAGAACCACAGCTTTAAAGGAAATCTGTCAGAACAGTAAATATAGGAGTTGACTTTGCTAACTTGTTTTTAAAAATGCTAGCCTTGGGCTGACTCCCCAATCGTCAATTTGCAACTCAGTGAATGAGTGACTTATAACAAGTATGCAGCCAGTGAAGTGCAGGAACCCCTGATATGCACTTATTTCCGGTGGGTCAATGACCGAGTATTGAAGAAGGATAAAAAATCACAGCAGCAAGTTTGCATTTTTATAACCAAGTAATCAGTCACAGCTTCCAAATTTCTATCTGTACAAGTTCCTTTCAATAACAGCACAAAACGCAATGTTGTGCAGTAATCAGAGCCATTTCTAAGTTTCACATATGCTTACGCAAACATTTCTTCAATGGATAATAAACACAGGCTAAATCCAAGGCACTATTGTCTATTTATTCATTTTACTTGTTTAGAAGCTTTCACTGCTGTTTGATCATTCACTCTGGGCCCACCAAGTCTATATAGCCATCTAAATGCATACATTTTCACGTGGCTTATTTGCAAGTATACAGTTTAGAAGATAGGTTGTCCGCACGCTATTCTGTTTCAGAATATCATCTTTATTGGCATTCCTTCGCATGACATATAAATGCAACATTTCAGAACCTTTGTCAGGCAAAGTGTCAATGAAGGGGCCCTGCGAGGTTCTGAAACATTTTATTTATATGTCAAGCTAAAGGAATACAAATAGAGATGATATCCTGAAGAAGAATGGTGTGCAAACAACATATTAGGGCTGCAACTAACAATTATTTTTATAAAGCGATTAGTTGACTGATTATTTTATCGATTAATTGGATAAATAAATACCATCTTTTATTTAAAATACACAAATGGAGTGTTAGTTAAAAGTTTAAAACTGCATGCACAATTTTTTGCAATCACACTGCACTGGAACGCATGGCATTGCAGGGATGCTCTCCTCACCGCTGGGCACCAGCTGCAGGGATCTGTGTCCCCTCCGAACCCCGCTTCTCCCAGTCAGAGGGATCATAAGGACAGAAAGCCAATGAAACACTGGCTCCCAACGCGGAGGAGAGAACTAGGGGATCCACACCCACTAATCGATAATGAGAATTGGCAATGATTCTCATTATCGATTATTATTGTTTAGTTAGTTGCAGCCCTACTACAAATCCTCTAAACTGTATAATGTGGCACCATCCACCAGTTGTTCCAGCACCTGTTGAATTCTGGGGTACATCGTTACGGTGTGTGAAGGAGATATCACCATGTTCTTTGCAAGTATGGCAGATTTATGGAAGAAGTGCGGATATGTCAGCTTTCAATACATTAGGTACTTATTGCCAGAAAAGTATGATTAGTATTAGATTGTCACCCCTGAGACAGTTAATATCAAGGCACTGAATGCATGTTCACTTACAATAAAGAAAATATATTGACCCCCACAGCATCACTTTTGCCAAACAGATATTTTTAAAAGATTGCCAGATTAAATTGATGCCACATTAGTCTTAAAGGACAGCTAAGCCAATGGTGTTATTTTTCTTTACACATGTACTTCTCAATACAGAATTTCCACTGTTTATTTAGATTCTTAATTGGCATGAATAATAAAAAGCTAACAATTTTACATTAAATTGGTGCCAATGATATAAATGGAATATAATGCTTCAAAGAGGCAACACAAACTCAAAGGTGATTAGATGTCCTTTAATACCATCTCTGATTTGTTTTTGTGCTTAATAGAAAAAAATAGTTTAGTGAAGTAAAAGTTTAAAAACCTGTTGCCATGAGCCAAAAATACTGGATGTGAAAGCCAATGATTTAGGGGACACAGGGGAAGAAGTGATTTGATCCCCTGATCTGCGTCTTCGACGCCCAGAACCCACAGCACTGGTGTAATGCATCCAGGTACCGATACACTCTGGGCTAGACACACTCAGGGGGCTCCCTTCCTAGAAGTGAGAAAGGGGGCAAAAACAGCAAAGCATGCAAAAAGTTAGAAACAAAGCCAAATGACGAGAAAAACAAAAAAAAAAAATCTCGTTTCTAGATTACAAAACATAAAATAACCTTTAATGTGTGGCATGGGAGTAAGCAAATAGCTAACACTACAAACTGGACTTATAACTGTATTAGAAGCATTATTTAGGAAGGGATTATAGAAAATACTGGACACAAAAAATGAATGATCATTGTAGAAATATGCCAGGAAAAGAGTGAATCAATCACTGACCCAAAGATCGGGTTATGACGTTTTGGTGATCACTAACGGCACATATAAAGTTAGCAGTTAAATTGGGATCATTGGGCAAATTGGGGACAGGCCACATATAAACAATCCTATATAAGACTTTAATGACACAAAACAGTTTTACATAAACCAACAAAATTCAGAAACATAAATATATAAAAAACAGTGTTGCCCCTTTCTGTGCTGTGTCTTATATTGTTCTTTATATCACTATGTGCACATGCACGGATAGTCTTTACAGACATTTTAAAAATGTTTTGTCTTAATTGCAGAAATTACATCACAAAAGGAGCACACAAATTGTCATCTTTAACGAAGGCAGTCACATTATCTTCTTGTCTATATTAGAGATAACAATGGGTTATCTAAATTCAAAAACAATCACAGCTAATAGATATTTCTCTATGGCATTAATGAAATAGTAACACCAACAGTCCTGTATACAAGCCACTTTAAAGGGAGCAGTGAAATAAGGATGTTTTAGAGGAGTTTATAAAACACAAGAAAACTTTATCCCGGCTGCCATGATAAAGTGATGGCCGTACCGTTCGGTGGAGAAAGGCACTTACCTCTACCGAGCCTATCTTTCTGGAACGTGGTAAAGGAGACTTCCTGTGTATGTGAATAGGATCAGACACCATAGGTTTAAACATCACCATGGACCTGTCGGGCTCATCTCTTCTGCACACGCCAGGCTCTTCATCGCTGTCATTTCCATGGATGTGTTTCTTGGAGCTTTCACTCTATTTAAAAAAAAAAAATAAGAGTAGGCCATGGGTAAAATTATAGAATGCTACACACTGACTGAGTCTATGCAGATACAATGTTAGTCAATATATCATAGGGAAATTCACTCAATATCAGACCTAGAAATGCAACACGGCAGTATAGTGAAGGAGCAACATACATTAAACTTTGGAACATGTGGCCAATTGCAACTTTGCAATAATATTTCTGGCAAGCCAGAAGTTTGAAGCCTGTACATCCTCATGTCCCTAGGTGGTGGGGGCTTAGGTCTAAATGAAGGAAAAACAATCTTTTAATTTGGAGAATGACCGTTTCATTATAGTATTATGGTAGTAAATGGGTCACGGAATGTCATCTTATATCAAAGGCTAATCACACATTGATTATAATATTTACCCGAAATATTTCCATGTACAGTTATATATATAATATTTTAAGAAGGCTGACATTTCTAACTGTCATTGGCATTTCAGTTTGATATATTTAGCAGAATTAGAAATAGAAAACATTAGCTGAAAGAGTTCCTAATTAAAACAGCCAACCTAGTGAGTTTCAAAACCTGTATCAGCATTCACCTTTACAACATTCTTGTACAGAGGCCGATGCCACTGTAGATTTATTGTTATTCACGGTTACAATTATTTAAAGAGGAGCTCCAAGATGCAGTACTTTTATAAACCGTCCCATTGCACTTTCAGAGCTGACACGTAAACGCATGGTTTTTCAGGTTCATATGGCTCATGTAGTTCCAGAGATTGAGAAAAGTTAAAAACTCCCCCTTCCTTTTGCCTGTCAGTGCTGTTCACTTTGAGTCACATGGAACCTGGTAACCTTTACTTTCTAGAAGATGAAAATGGTCACTAAATGATGCTGTGAATATAGTAGACAATGTCCTCAAGAAAAATAATTCTTCTGGTTGTCTAATTGGTGGAAGAGCTTATTTGCAAAGAATTGTTAATGGAGTACCTATGCCCTTAAGCATCACATATGAGGGATAATTAAACCCCAAAACAAACATTTTAAACATTGCAGCTTACCAGTCCTTTGATTTGGTGACTGCAGTCATTTTTTTTCAATGCCACTCAGTGTACTGTATCTACTGAGAAGAAGCAATGTCATCCTACAACAGGACTACAGAACACCTTAGCCCGTCCTCTTTTCCAAACTATAGATGGGCGGGATTCTGCATACCTCAGAGATAATAATGTAAGTAATCAAAGTTGTCACTATTCTGCACTGTGTAAGCTGTACTGTCAACATTAGCACATTAGCTGCTCTGCCATTGCAAGGAATGTTGGGAAAAACTTTACATTGATTTAGTTAGGAATTGAATTCACTCTCCAATTTTAAACAAAGAAAAAATTCTGCTTTCCATAACTCAGGGATCTCATTTATTAGAATTATATTAACAAAAATAAGAAAACATTCAAAACAAACCTCTCTGGATGCTGGTCTGTACCCAAATCCTGAAGGCAAGTTCTTATCTTCTTCGCAGCCTTTTGCACCTGGACTAAAGTGCAATTCCACATGGAAGCGCTCCTCTGACGTCAGATCCTATATAGGTTTACAAAAGGCCACGATGATTCACTATACAATCTGCGTTCAGCTACTTACAAGCTCAGTATACACAGATGTCTAGTTACCTTGTTTGGGTCCTCATACAGCATAATAACAATCTGTGTCATGTAATTCAGTTCATTTACAAAGTTTAAGTAGTCCATCGACCTCTTCCACTGCTCATCCTTGGTCTCCTACAGGTCAAAATAAAAAAGTATGGCAATATTACCATGTACACATTCATCATGTGTTCTTATTCTACACAAGACAACAGCCAAAACACAAATACATACCAAGCAAGAAAACAGGTAACTTTGTGCACTTATTATGACAATATAGATATAGCTCTGGAAGTGTATGGGTGCTCTTTGGATGACTTGCACAAGATATAGTTGTATATAAGTGGCTGATATTTGTGTGTATGTATGTATATATGTATGTACTACTTTCTTTACATACTCTCTAGTATTTTAGATTTCTTAGTAGATCGGTAATTCCTATTGATGTCCAATAAGGATTAAATGCAAGCTCTGGATACACAAGATGTGATCATGTACCAACTGCTGCGTATTCAGAATTTGTGCTCTGAAGGATGCTGGTCTTTTCATGAGACATATTTTTGTATGAAGTCAAACCATGCCCAAGAAAGTTGGGCCATGTCTCTTAACTTGTTACCATGCCATGTCTTTCCCATAATGTTCTCCTTTACCATAACCGCTCTGTTCCGGTGCTCACTATAAAATACTCTCAACTTATTAACTGCCATAGGTCAGTTTTTAAAAAACTAAACTCTCCAAACATGTTCAAACTATAATGCTGTGTTATTTGTGTAAGAAATAAGTAACATTTTAATTTTTTTCTTTTTTTAATTACCCAACTTTTTGGTGGAGTATGGTGGGGTTTTTTTTCCCAATAAGATCTTATTATCATGTTACCCAATACTGGGTTGTCCTCAATTCACATACTCACCTGCCCAGCGAATCCAGCATGGTCCTTCTTCCCTAATTCATGTGGAGCCAGATGTCTCTTCCTGGTTCAGGCAGGCAGAACCCAATGATAGGCCGACACTACGCCTTCCTCTCTATAGAAACCAATGCCTCCTGAGATATGTGATGTTGCATTTTCTAGAAGGCACCGGGTACGGAACAGGTCATGCAATAAGAGAGGACAGGCTGGAACATTCATTTCAATGGCACCCAAGCAAACTAAGATAACACACAGTAGTATGTTGCAAATAAAAAAATTAATAAAGGGGGCACATTCAATTTTTTACATGTTAGACTGTGTTGGCAGCTCATTCATTTAAATGGGCTGACTTAACGCAACAAACGTTAACACATGTGCATTAAAGCACCACAAGATATAAATGGACCCTTACCAATTGAAAGGCCCAAAGTCACATTGTACATTTATTGTATGTATAGCACTATCTACTACTTACATCACAGAGTGCTCCAAAATGCAGAATTGACAGTAGTGAATGAACATGACTTTCACTGGTAAAATACAAACGTGTGCGCACATGCCGCTCTGGAGACATCACACCTCGCGAATACCTGAAAAATAAAAGATGCCAGCTTTTCCTGTGTGTGTTGGCTATCCATTTCGGCAGGACAGGAAGAGTGATTTTAAGGTATTTGTCCATTGCAGATCTTAAGATGGTAAGGAAAAACATCATTATGTCTATTCTATAAGGAGGACAGCTGTCATGTTGATTTCGACTATTACAAACTGGTGAATGAAAACTGCAGATTACCAGCAACAGATTATTACTGATAGCAAGCTGCAACAGGTCATACTTTCTGTAAATTCTACTACAGTACAGTAATATCCAAATGAATAACGCTTACAGTGGATGGAGCTTATTTACAGTGTCATCATCTTGTGTTCTCTGTAGATCAGAGCGAATCTTTCGAACAAGAGGTGTGCAGTAACCTTTAGCAATCTCCAGCTTTTCTGCTTTGGATATACCATATTCCTAAAATACAATACAAGTTCAAATAAATGCTCCATTGTGGCCAAAACAAGTTTAAGTACAGTCCTTTGCACTGACTATACGAGTACTTTTTAATAACCATGATGTTTTGTTGATGCTCCAGATCACCATTCTACAAGTCTTGTATTACAAGGTAGAGTAATTATATAAACAGCTTTAGAATTCGAAAAGCACAGGTCAAATCCATGAAGTGAGCATAACAAAGAATAAGGTTTAGAGACATAGTTAAATGGTAGTCGTAAGAAGTTATAAGTAAACTGTAACCCAGGTGAAAATTGAATGGTATAGTGGCGCAAGTCATGCCATGCACGGCTGCGCCAGATTTTGTCTGCTCCAGTTTTGATAAATTCCCCTCAATGTGTTTTGGGATTACCATTTAAAGTCAATCTGTGATTAGAGGAGGAGAAATTATGTCATATTCCTGCCGCTTCCTATCCCCCTTCAATCAAAGAATGCCTTGTATTCTTTACATACAATAAGATGCATATATCATAAGATGCATATAGATACCTACCACAATCTCTCTGACTATCTCATACTCTATTGAAAATGGTTCTCTTCAGGTAACTGAACTTTTACCTTCTCCATTCACTCATTCCCACACAGTTACTACCTTTTGTTTCACTTGCACCTTCCTCTAGATTGTAAGTTCTCATGAGCAGGGTGCTCCTAACCATCTTGTCTTGCATTATATGTTGTAGCTGTGAAAACTGTTAGCGCTATATATAAATCGTGAATAATAATAATAAGAATAATAAGAAGAATTGAAATAGCATTCAATTATCAGCCTAGATACTTCAATTTATTCAAAAGTTCAGGGTGAGAGAGAAGCAATCATTCATAGTATTAGAAACTGAGTCATCACAAAATTTGGCCTTTTAGATGGAAACATTCTATTTTTGCTAGAATCCTAACCTTTAAGTGTTTCATCTTATAAGACTGTCAATTATACAATACTGAGATAACTCTTTCAAAATGCCCTTTACCAGCTCCTCATACTTTGATCATCACTTCCCATACTTATTTTAAAAAATGCTATTTAGGAGACAATATAAATGGTGATAAAATACAGCAAACTGACAAGTGGAAAGTAAAATGAATTGCATTTTTACTGTCATGCATATACTTCATGATAAATGTCATTTTTAAAACCCTCGCCCTCTAGGTTTGTCATAAAGGCCATTAGAATTTTCCAAATTGGCTGGTTTTATGAAATGTGGAATATTATAATCACAGCGCACCCAAGAGTAGTCATAAACAGTCTGATAAAAGTCCCGGGTTTGATGGCCTGATGCACATGAACATAAGAAATTCACTATTTAGGACAATTATAGGGAGGAGTCATTTTCTGAAGCACTCATACTTGTTTGAAAATCTCTGTGTGATGAAGCCAAAAAGTTATATCTTAAGGCAATGTCTGGGGCGAGCTTAAAGTGACCAATAGCCATTAGAATTCCATCTCGGTAAAAGAAATTATAGCTCCCAATTTCATGCACTGCTAACATACCAAGTGACAAGGACTTGTAAGTTGTGCTCCCTATCACAACTTGTAGGATGATTTTGTTCCTGTGAGCAGGACCAATCCATTCCTCTGCTGTGGTGTACAAAATACATTCAAAGTACAACCTATGTACCACTTTCAGAATCAAATGAGGATAGTAGCAGGTATTGGCACTGGAATGAATTGATCCCCGGCCATTGTTTCCAGGGAGATACTGGACAGTCTTGGTCAACCTAAGCAAAAGTGATATGTGATCAGATCAGTTCACTCTTATCCACTATATTCAAACATGGCCAAGTTACCTGTGGAATGACAATGTCAGCTAGTGCCTTGGATATCCTGTACAATTCCATTGTGTTCTCCAGTTTTAATGAGCCGTTATGTTGCACATCATACTTTATACAATCATAAATATCGGGAATCTTGCTGATGTCGTATCTTCCATTTTTCGTTTTGAAATCTTTTTCCAGTTTGGACCACCTGCGAAGCATCAACTCCAGGGTCTCACTGTGGTAGAGCTGAATATCTACATAACAGTGCAATATGTCAAGGTTTTTCATTTCAAATCAAAATTAAATCACTACAAAACGAATTTCTGGCATAGGTCTGCAAGCACAACCAGATAAACATCAGCAACATGCATTACTATGTCCCATTACCATGATTGATGCTTTATAATCAAGCTATAATTTGAAACCAAACAGATGGATGCATTAAAGCCGTGGTTAATTACACACAAAACCCCAGTTACAGAAAAACACATGGTAGTTTTATTAAAACACACACATCTTCTATATTACATTACCTGAGAATCTGGGGTCTTCCATTTTTAGTCGTATTTGGGATGTGAGGCTTTGAATTAATGAATACACTTTGTCACAAGTTTTAACTGGATTCTTTATAATCTGCATGGATTTAATCTGCGATACGCTTCCAGTAGGGGTCAGCTAAAGTACAGAACAACAACTTAATAATTTTGTATGAAATTGTCATTTTAGAGGTTTAGAGTTTGTATCACAAAATCAAGCTGAACAGCAATCATTCCTATTGACACAAAGGAGTAAGCCTTACACTTGCTTGTCACACCATTTAGGGAATCTTAGATAGAGGCCCGGTTCATGTCACAAGCAAACACACATGCATAATGCTTCCGGTTCAACAAAACATGAAAATAGACTACACAAAATGTCATCTTCCATAAACTACTTATGAGGCTCAGATAGCGGATTCATCGGCAGCATCAATAAATCCACAATACTTAGCCTGACCATACATGGTTTGAAATTCGGGCCCTGCTGGCACCACCCAGTTCCACAAAAGTCAACTAAAAAATTAAAGCTGGAGCTGGAAAATAGTAGGCATAACAGTCACTGTATCCTGTCAGATGCAGTCACTGTTTGGGTATTCAGTTGCGGCTGTCTGAATACAATAGTCGGCAAGGGAAAATCAATCAGCATGGATGAAGGAATTTATTGATTTGGCTTGTTCAGCTCGTGGGGAAGAGCAGGCCAAATCTAAACTTGTACGAATAGCATAACACTGACTACTTTGTTATACAGCGGGATTGTTTTTCAGTGGTGGCATTAAACATGTACGAGCACAAAGAGTCATTTATGGCACTATTCAATAAGGGTTCTAATGAAGGTTCTAATTCTTACAAAAACGTGTATTGAGAAATATGTAGGATGCAAAAGTCACTAACCTGAAATAAGCATGCAGCAAGTAAAGTCAGATTTTCAGATCTGCATACTTACTCCAGGTCAGGGACTCAAAACATGGAAGTATGATTCATTATGACAACCAGGAAACTAGTATGTTCAGAAGACAGCAATGGTAGTCTCCATATGCAATGACCTAATGAGGGTTTTATCCGAAACTAAAAAGATACATTTTGGCTTTTCAGATGCATTAAACTTTATTAGTGAAAATAGGATTTTTGTACTCACCGTAAAATCCTTTTCTCTCCGTTCATTGAAGGACACAGGCAACAGATCGTAGATCCTGAATGGTAGGGTAATATCGCCACCTGCAGGAGAAGGACGCTAACTATAACACTAAGATGAATGTGCAGGCCATTTGAATGTATATTGTACATGGATAGTATAATTCCAACAGTGCCCACAGATCCAGTGTATACTCTTCCAGATCAGTAAAAGGTTATAGAAGATTCACCCTAATAAAGCAACAGACTCCCCTGAGGAGAAACAACACAGGGTCATTGCCCCTCCCACATTTGTCTTGTGAATACCAGTATAACATATCTTAATATTACTTAGATCAGTCAGTAGACTGAGGTGGATCGGATCAACATAGATGGTACACATGGTGGGCGCTATGTAGGCACAAGGGCATATCTGAATTATGTGCAGGCAGAGGGAAATTCTGGTAACCTAGCTTCCCAACGACAAAGCAACAGCTCAAAAAGAGCAATGTGATTATCTTCCAACATAACTAATATAAAAAATTACCTTTTCATAGTCCTCAGCACTAAAATCACGATCCCGCTGAAGTATTTCATGAAGTCGTGCCTTCACTCGATGCTGACAGCTGCTAAATGAGTCACTGTCATTATCCAAGAGACCATTCATATTGGCACTTTTCACCATCTGCACAAGTATTGGGGTCAGCTCTCCTTCCAGAGCCAGCAAGCCCTAGGAATTAAATTGGTAAAACCAGAGACCTCATGTGTGAACTTTCAAAGAAAAATGGTTTATATTTTCCCTTAGAAACCAATCGACTTCCCCCTTTTATTTCCTACCCTTTCCACCAATAGGAAAGGGAGAATGCAATGATAGCTGACAGGGAAAAACAGAGAGGTCTTTGGACACTTCATAAATATGCTGCTACCTGTCTAAAAGATATATAACAACAACCTAAAAACAGAATGTAAATGTATTTGATCGTCACAAAACAAGGAATAAAACTAATGGAAATTACACCAGAGCTTGGGGGAAAAAAACAGTCACATAGCTGTAATCACCATATGTAGTTAATAGCAACACTGCTTTAAAACAGCCATCAAAGTGCCGCCCAAATTGGTATGCAAATTATGATAATCACAAAAGGCAGAGAATAAGCTATTCCCTCCACAGTCTCTGAGATGGCAATGCTAAAGAATCTCCATAGGGTGACTGGGCACAGGGCATTAAACTGAGTAATTTATCAAGAAGTTATTTGTTCCATAAGGACACTTTAATTGTTTATGCATTGGCACCATAGTCTCCCGAGTTGTGTTACAGTTCATTTTTACCAGCACTGACTTTTTTAGAACAGAAACAAAATGCAAAACTAAAGCCAAGTAGCAAGCCATTCTAAGGCTATCTAGGTTATAAGAGAAAAAAAACCCAATATGCTGATCTAGAGAAATAAAAACAATATATCAATGTACTTTAGCAAAAGCTGCGGCAGTCATCTGGACTCTTCCTTCATCAGAGGCATAGATCTTCAGGTCATGTCTGTAAGTACTGTGTAACCTGAGCAAACCACATCCTGGGAAACCAGCATAGTCTCCTAAAACAATGATATACATTATTGCAAATTTTTGTTTTGACATTTACAGAAGTTAAAGTGACATTAAAGCCAAAAAAAATTTCCCCTCCCCCCCATGTAAATGTTAGCACTTACCTCAAATGATGTCTCTTATTCTGATCTTCCTCTTCTTTCCCCATGTTTTCATCTGTCCCTCCAGCGGTGTGACGTCACTCCGATCCAGCGCTGACTGCTCTGTCTCTCCGATCCAGCGGTGTCTGCAGGCAGGTGCACGCGTCCATAGACTTACCTTGCGTCTCTGCTCGTCTCCTGGCCGAGAATTGGAACTGCGCATGCGCCCGCCCCAAGATCCTTTGCGGCCGTACGATCACTTCCTGATTCTCGGCGCGGGATCGAGCAGCGATAACGAGGTAAGTTTAAAACCAGTTCAAGCGTTTTTTGTTTTTAAACTTCTTGCCTATATCTACTGCTTGCTAGCAGTAGATATAGGCAAAAAAACGGAGGGTTTAGAACCCCTTTAAGCACAGGTCAAAAATATTGGCTTTCCGATTAAAGAAGTACATAGTGTTAAAGACATTACTGCTTTTTTAATTTTACACTATGCATAGCGCCTATTACAGTTAGGCCCCTTTCACACTGGTCGATCAGGAGCGGATGTCAGTAGATCAGAGCACCGCTGATCGGATGTCACCACTGTGACATCCGTGTCTGTACAGTTGTTTCCTCTATCTTGCGATGGAGAAAAAAAAACACAAAAGTGCTGGACCCCATACAAGTATATGGGGAATCTGATGTAAACAGACATGTGTCCGTTTACATCAGATTACCTCTGGTCCGGCACGATCCGGTGCGTCGAAACGGATCACTGATCCGTCTGTTTTACCAGACCAAGCCAAAGCTAACCAGGTGTAAATGGATGTTTGTCTGTTTAAACCCAACTACCCATAGACTTCCGATCGGGTCCGGCTGAAAAACTGACTGGTGGACCTGATCGGACCACTCATGAGAAAGGGACCTTACTCTAAAGCTGTACGTACTACCTTGTGCTTCAGTATACATGCACTGGAATCTCCTCCCAGGCTAATATTTACATAGCAAAAAAGTTAGCACAGGTCACAGATATTGGCTTTACAATTAAAGAAGTATATAATGTTAAAAAAACACATCTACTGCATTTTCATTATACATTCCCGCATAATGCCCAGTACGGTTACCTTAAAGCTGTATGTATTACCTTGTCCTCCAGGATACATGCACCGGAATGCCCTCCCAAGCTCCTCTGCTTGAACTCGCCCTGCAGGGGTCAGTTCACCTCCCCACTTAAGAACTAGAAGCAGTGATGGTTCTTCCCTTCGATAGTCTAAAAAAAATAAAATAATAATAAGTAAAAA